CCCGTGTTAACTTCTGAACGTGATACTGGAGTAATTTAGATGTAACTTTTATCAGCATGGATATGTTGTAAGGATAGTGAAAATCTCGGTCGAGTTCATAGGTGGGCTATCCAGCTCAAAGGGGGTGGAAATTTTCATTTTTCCATAATTCCTTTACAATTGAAAATAGAAAGAAAATTCAAATCACGCGAATTATTGCCTTATCATAACGAACAATCTTTCCTTTTAAACTTTTCAATAGCTACAATTGTTTAGAAGTTATGAGCTGAAAAGTGATTTTCCCACCCTTCCCCTCCTCTCCCACTAACTTAAAGTACTTTTTAACCAATGCATTTTATTACTTGTTGGAAAACTCTCGCCATTTGCAGTCTCTTCAACACGCATTCATTCTTGTAGCACTAATCGTATGAGAATAGAAGGCTAATTTTTTATTATTATTATTAGAGACGTATATATATAACGCTTTTGCCCATCTTATCTTTTCAACACGATAACTAGAGTAATTTTGATTAGATTTCAATCGGCGAGGGATATGTTGTAAATTCGGTGAAAATATCGACAGAGTTTGTAGATGCGCTAACCAGATAAAAGGGGGTGGAAATGGTGGAGGACTGAACATTTCATTTTCCCATAATTCCTTTACGATTAAAGATAGAATGAAAACTAAAAAAAGGCGAATTATTGCCTTTTTATAATAAACAACTGTTGTATTGAAACTTTTTTGATAGCTACAATTTTTTAGAAGTTATGAGCTAAAATGGCACTTTCAATCCCCTCCCCCATTTTATCATTTCTCCATAGCTCTGTTACGACTAAAGATAGAAAAAAATTCAATTAGGCGAATTATCACCCTATAAGAACGAACAATTTTTATGTTAAAAGTTTTTCTCAGCTAAAATTACTTAGAAGTTATGAGCTGAAAAGCAACATTCAATTCCCCAGTCAACTCAATTTATCATTTCCCCATTACCCTGTCACGATCGAAGATAGAAAGAAACTTTCAATTGGGGGAATTATCACATAATCATAACGAACAACATTTATATTAAAAGTGTTTTGACAGCTACAATTGCTTATAAGTTATGAGCTGAAAAGCGATGTTCAATTCCCCTCTCGATTTATCTTTTCCCCATAGCTCCGTTACGATTGAAGATAGAAAGAAAATTTCAATTAGGTGAATTATCACCATATCATAACAAACTACATTTATATTGAAAGTTTTTTGGCAGCAAGAATTACTTAGAATTTATGTGCTCCCATCAGCCGCATTCACTTCCACTTTTTGTACGTTAAACAAGCAGATATACCTGGCTTTGCTCCGGATTAAAATGCTTTCATGTCTAATATTTTTAATGTAAAAACTACTACTGTATAAAAATTGTAATACACAATTTTTTTTTTCTGCTCTGAAACGTTTTTAATTAAAATGAGAATATCAATTGAAATAAACAGCTGTTTTCTCTATAAATTATTATTTGTTATATAGGTACATCAAATTACGTTAATACATACTAAAGTAAAAGAAAGAGAGGTTTCAATGAACATTTTATTATATTACTCATTAATTTAAAGAATGAAAATAAATAAATCATTATTAGGTCAAGATATAAATGACTAATAGTCTACTTGTAAAATTTTCTTTTAGCATTAGTCCAGAATTGCGTGAATGCGCTCTGGCAACTATATATATTCGTATTATTCTTGTTCTTCAACAATAAAGAATATTGTGACAAATTCAGAATAAAATAAATTTTCAAAAAATATAAAAATGAGAGAAACAAATTGTATGGAAAAGAAATTTTTCTCACTGAAATGAAAATTTTATTAAAATATAATAAGGTGTAAAAATAGTTTCGTGAGATAATGATTTCCAAAGATTTAGCGGAAAAAGTCTTGTTTAATTTTTAATTAACAGAAATTGTAAGTAACTTTTGGGCATTGAATTTTAAGGTGAACTTTCTCTGGTCTTAAATAAATGTTTGCAAAGTCTAGTTAAAATCAGTCCAGTGGTTTAGGAGGAGATGTGGAACATACATGCAGAACCAATAACTTTTATTTAAATTAAGATAATTATTAGATCATTACAAGATTAAGTTTGCTGGCATAAACTATGAGCCATAAAAAAGGTATTAGTGAAGATATCGTCACAATTAAATAAATATTTAATTTTATTTAAGTAAATAGTTTATTTTAATTAATCAAACAGTTAATTTTAATAGTTAATTTGATAATTATTTAATTTGACAGATTAATTTAATTTCATATTTAACTAAACATGGCTGCACCAAGATTTGTTTAATAAATTTAATATAAAATAGCCAAAAAAGATATATAAGAGTTTCCTTTTTCTTTTTTATAATGAAAAATATCTCATTAACTAAAAAATTGTTTTGGCGTTTTCTGCCTGAGTGTTTGCTTCTAACTGTCGATGGAGAAGACCCAGATAGCACGTAAGTTTGCAGCAAGTTTGATTTTGACTTGTCATGGCAAAATTTGACGCGTCAAACTTGAATCGAACTTGTAGCAAGTTCGATGTGACAAGTAGCGCCACCTCTTTGCAAATCAAACTTGCAGCAAGTATGCAAAACAAGCTTCCTGCAAAGATAGCACAATAAAGAGATAATTATCCTTGTCTCTGTTTTAAAAAACATCCGATTTTTAATAGCATCTCCTAGACCGTAATTCTTTTTTATTAATTCAATAAATCAATGATAATTTGTGAAAAAAATAACTTTTTTATAAAAAATTTTTTGAAGCATTTTCCATCTTTTTACTAAATATATCACTCTCACTTTAAAGAAAACTATATCGCCTTTTTCTTTTTTTATTTTTTTTTTTGAAATTTTAACGTTTATAAACAAAATTAAATCTAAAAAACAGTCGGTGTTTGTTGAAAAATAATAACTAGACATTTTGTCCCATTTTAAAGTAATTACTTTTGAACTCTAATTTCATAATTTATTCTACTAGCAAAACGTAGTTATTAGCGAAAATCGCTCTCTCTTTGACTTCAAATCGTATTCTCAACTCAAAAAATTAATGAAAACCAGAAAATAGTTTAAAATAAATCGTATACGAATCGCATCGAACGATGTTTTAACGAAATCTATCCTCTCCTCTCAGAGTTCAGCTGGCTCAACGGTTAGCGTCCCCGCTTCGGAACCGGGAGGTCGCGAGTTCTATCCTCGGTTGTGTTCGTGTTCTGTTTTTGCTATAATTTGCAATGAGTTTGACACGGCAAACTTGCTGCAAGTTCGTTTCATGGTGACTTCGGAGCTTTCGCTAACTTGCTGCAAGCTTACTGCAAGCTTGCACACTTGTCATGACAAATTTGTGGCAAACTTGCACTCTTGTCATGACAAATTTGTGGCAAGCTTGCTGCAAACTAAAATTGCTATCTGGGGATGGTCCTTTTCAAAATGACTGCATTGATATCCTATGCTTTAAACACACGTGTTAAATTTGGAACTCACAATGTTTAATAATGTTTATTCTCTTATGTGTTAAGAATTTAGTGACTATTATTTCTGTAACCAGTTAGTTCTCTAAATGAGCCCATTCTAGTATTGTTTAAATATTTCATGGCATGTGATTTTACCATATGACAAAGTAATGTTCGTACAATTATATGGTAACCCAGATTAAATAGACTAATCTGGAGTCGTTCTTTATTCGTGTCAAGTGTCAATTTCTTGCTACAGTTTCAGATAGGATGGCTTAATGTTATCTAGGGGATATTTGCGCTGCTGGGATATTTATTTCTTTATGATTCCTACGTGTTGAATGATTATGTGTTGGGATATATAAAAACTTTTACCAATTTACTGACCAATAAATATAGCATAACCTTTTGGAATGAAAAATGGAATGATAAAACCGTGATATAGTGAAAAATTTAATATCATGAAAACAGAATCAGAACGTAAATATTGCAATGTGAAGAAACAATAAAGTCATTGGCTATGTCTGTATTGATCTGTATATAATATTTCATTACTTTTGTACCATAGCGTAAAGGAATCTACCTTTGCCTTCAAGCTTGCCGAAAAGGGATATTTTAAAATTTAAGCGGTCTACTGGAAATATAAAAAGGAAAAAATGGACATCTACCGGAAATATACTCACCAATAACTCCTTGATATTTTCCTAGACACATTCAAAACTTTTAACAGCCTACTGCATATATAACTCAGATAATCAATTCAACAAATGTTATTTAAAACAATTTCAAATTGAAATAACATTAAAATATTTAAGCCTGGAGGCACTGATCCATGAAAACCTGTTAAATCCGTCACCTATTTGTAACTCAATGATGAAGGATGAATCTCTTCTCCACAAAATTGCGCTCTCTCTGTCAGAGCTGGCATTTTTCAAATCAACTGCGGTTAACTGGAAATTCGAAATCACCGCTTGCCACCATTTAAATGTCCTGTCTGTTGCATCAGACGCAGGAAATAGCCGATTGTTATATCAAAATAGATTTATTTAGCTATTAACAAAATGAAGTCGTTTTGAGAACTGACTTACAAACTTGAAATAAACAATCACCAAAATTCACATTACGTGCAGTCTGTGCCTCGAGAGCAAATACATCAGAAAACACTTGTAAAGCCGTAATCAGTTCAGTATTTTAAAATATAAGACTGAAAAAAAATTCTTTTCAGTTGCTATGTTCCACATCTCCGCCTAAATCACTCCACCGATTTCCACCAAACTTTGCCACTTAATTTTTATGACAAGGAGAAGATACCTGTTAACTTTTAAAAGTGCAAAAGTGAATAAAACAGTAAGTTAATTAGAAATTAACCGAAACTGTTTTTCAGCAGCAACTTTGAAGCAATTTGACCCTCAAATTTATTTTATACCTTCTTTAGGTTCAAATTTTTACTTTTCCAAAGATACCAGTTTTATATTTGTGTAATGTTTCCTTCAACTTTTATTAAATTTTCAAAATTTAATACATTGTTAATTATATTTATACTATTTTGAAAAAAAGCAAATTTATAGATATTGCGTTGCTAGGCAACTGTGGGACCTTCAACTACTAGCGTTTTCAATCAAACCGCATTAATTTAGAGTAATAAACAAGCTAGCATGAAAGGTTATTTCTGTATTAGTAATCTCTGTATTTAGTGTAGGTTTATGTCTGTAGTTGGAAAGCTATATATTTGATTGTTTACTGTACAAATTCGTATACTCACTTTAATCATTGTATTACATGTTGTTTGAAAGTTTAAAATACATGCTCATCGTTCAAACTCCTTCCGTTTTCAGTCAATCCTTATTAATTTAGAGTAATAAACAAGCAAGCTTTAAAAGGCTAAATTCAAAAATAATGAAGGCGAAGTTTATTTATGTTTATTGTAGAAAAATTGTGAGAGTTTTTGTGAAATGAAATAAAATGCGTTTGCCCCTGAAAATGCTATGACCCCGAGAGCATTGCTGAGTATATATTTATATATATAAAACAGAAAATAGATGTATCTGTCGGTCTGTTCGTCTGTCTGTCGGTCACATGAACTCCTCCTAAACAGTGAAACGTAGCTACATGAAATTTGCGCACGACATTCTAGAGCATATTTCTATGTCAAAGGTGCTATTTCGAACTTTCAGAGTTAATCAGATTTTCAAATATTTATTTAACTAACGAAAATTAGCCGCTGTTAAGCCTAATTCTTAGATGTTTTCTGCCAATAACTTCTGAAATATTTATTAGATAAGAATTATGTTTATGCCATTTTAAAGAGCTGAAAATTATCTTTTTAATGCTATTAATTCCATTGCGATGAAGTGTTTTCTCTGATTGTTGTAAAGGTTTAAAAAAATATTTTTAACGCAATTTCTAATATTACTTTTTATACCTGTAGAAATAAATTTAAGCCAAATTATTGTTTCACCCTCCGGCTTTTGCCAGTGTTAAAGTTAATATAAGAAAATATTGCTTTCTTTGAGCATAAACAGCAAAGTAGACTTTTCACTTCCGGTTTCTGGTTGTCGTAGCATTAACAGCTTTTAATACACAGTGATCCAATGACGTTAGTGAACTCTTTTCTCGATGTTTTGTTTAATTTTCACAAATTTTTACCTGACCCTAATGAGTGTGGGCGAAACCTTCAAGGCTACTTAGTCCGGTTCCTATCGTAGGAAGAGATAACAGGGAGGGGGGGAAAAAGATGTTCTAATGGTCTATCTGTCGCAAGATCTCCTCCTAAACGGCGAATAGTCTTGACATGGAATTTCCACATGCCATTCTGGGGTCCGTTCCTAGATCAATTCTATTTTTTCAAACTTTCAAAATAATTACTTCCTAAGATATTTAAATAAATAACGCAAATTAAGCCAATTTTCTGCGTTTTATCTCAGTTTTTCGCCAATAATTTCAGAAAAAATATATTGCACTTCGATCATTTACGTATCTTAAAGAGCAGAAAATTATCTTTTTAATAATTTCAAATTAAATTTTATTCGTTCTTTTTCTTAATTTAATAAACATTTCAAATTTATTTCATACACAATTTGTAACAATGCTTTCTGTTATTGTATTAAATTTCAAACCATTGATCGTTTTATCAATTCCTTCATTATGGTATTTTCACCATTGTCAAAGTTATGATAAAAATATTGTTTCTTTGAATGTTAACAGAAAGGCAGAAATTTTATTTAGCTTTTATTTCGTAGCATATACTTCTCTCAATATGTTTGCACCACAACACAATGATGTTAATTACTCTCTTTCCGCGGTGCTTCATTCAACTTTACAAATTTTATAATTATCATAATGAGTGTGTAAATTCCTTAAAGATTGTTGATCCCACTTACCACCGGAGGGAGAGGGCCTAAGGTGAAAAGGAAAGATCAATATGAGGTTTTTTCCGGTCAGTGACAAAAGCACTAAAGATAAGAGAATTGTTGTCCGGATAATTGCAAAAAAATCGACGGGAGGCTGTCGTTGCCAAACGGCCGCTGGGTTTGTAGGGCGCAGAATTAATTACCTTACACAACTCTGACTTTCTGTGTCTAAAGTTGTTCTACGTGATTAAAGTGGCTCTAAGTGACTTTGACCTATGACCCATGCTTTATGACCTTTCTCAGTTAAATGAAACTAAAACCAACTCAACTAATTAAATCGATGGAAAGGACATCGCAATTAAATGAACAATTTTTAATAATAATTAATTAAGGACAGTTAATTAATCGATTAATCAACTGTGACTTTCTGTGACTAAAGTAGCTCTATGTGATTTTGACTTATGACCTTTCTCTGTTAAATGAATTAATTTTAATTATTGATTTCTTAAAATCCAGTTAATATACCGCTCACAACCGATGCATGCGGTCGCTGTGACGACTTCAAAATTCTTCGTGATTTTCACCAATTTTGCAACTTGACTGTGACTAAACTATGATTACAAATTCTAAAATTATTTTTGCAAACTTCAATGTCAACCTCTCTCTGTTAAATGAAGCTTAAACTCTCTATGTTATTTGGTTGCGGTGTTATAAGCGTTTAAAAATATCACGAAGAGTGTCATAATTTTTTCCTTTCCCTACACACAATTAGACCACTGTGCAGAGACCTATGTCTACGTCAAAATACAAGATATGAACGAGTTTCTGCTGTTCCGCAGCAATGGTGGGGAGTGGGAAATGGAGTACGAAGGACAACGAGATTCTTGCCAGGTGGTTCAAACTAAGGAGAGAAAAAGAAAAGGGTGTTTCACTGCTAGTCCAAAGGATCAGTTGATTAATGAAAATCAACTAACGACGCTTCCGTGAAAAAACACTTTTATTAAATTGAAAGTATTATAAGTAATTGGACTTGAAAATATATTTATCCCGAGACGCGCCGGGGATATAAGCTAATATATATATAATATCAAAACAAACAAGAAGCAAAAGACAAATATTCAAAAACATAACAAGGAACAATAGACAAAAAGAAGACAAAAATTTAAGAAATTGAAAAATGTCATGGCGCCGCTTTTCAAGAAGGGAAGCCCGCCTATGATATTAATAAGTGCTTTTTTCTGCTTACGACATACGAGAAACGTAAAACTTCTGTCGCTATCCCCTAAAGAAGCACAAGACAATTAAAGATGGAAAAATTTTGGAATAAAAGAAAAATACAATGAACATGATTTAAAAAATCGAAAGCAAAAAAATCCGAATACACATAAGACCTAGATTAAAAATAC